GTACCGACAGATCAGATTATGTCGAATGAACCGCGCCACAACAGTCTTGGTTACCGTAGCGTAGGAAGCTGCTTCAACCCACTTTGTAAAATAATCAATCGCTACCAGGATGAAGCGATGCCCATTAGATGCCGTAGGTTTAATTTCACCGATCATGTCTATTCCCACATCGCAAACGGCCAAGGCGCAGTCAGAACATTCAGAGGAACTGGAGGAACTTGCACTTTGTCTGCATAAATCTGGCACTTATGGCATGTCCTGGAATGTTGGTAGCAGTCAGCTTCCATTGTGGACCAGTAATACCCTGCCCGAAGGATCTTTTTAGCCATAGTGTGTCCACTGGAATGTGTACCAAAGGTCCCTTCATGTAGCTCTTCCATGATCCTTTCTGCTTCAGTCTTATCCACACAACGCAGTAGGGTTGAATCATGGTTTCGCTTGTACAAGATGCCGTTGCTAAGGAAGAACTTTGCCGCGAACCTTCTCAGGAACTTCTTATCATTGATAGAGGCACCTTCAGGGTATTCCTGAGTTTCCAGATATCTCTTCACCTCATGGTACCAAGGCTTCTCAGTCACCAATTCAGTCTCGAGATCGCAACAGTATGCCGGTTCGTCCAGTTTCCAGATGATGATCCGGGGAGCCTCATTATCCCATTTGACCTTGAACATAGAAGACATTGTAGCTAACGCGTCCGCCAGCTGATTCTCCTCTCTTGGAAAGTGTTCAAAGGTTATCTTCGTGAAGTGGGGGATCAAAGTCAACACACATTCTCTGTAAGGAATAAGATTCGGATGTTTCGTATCCCACTCTCCTTTGATCTGATTGATCACAAGAGAGGAATCTCCGAAGACACTTAGAAACTTGATCCTTAAGTCGATCGCAGCTTGAAGACCCATGATGCACGCCTCATACTCCGCCATGTTGTTGGTACAGTTGAAACATAGCCGGGCAGTGAGTGGAGTATGAGTGCCTTGAGGAGATATGATTATGGCGCCGATACCGTTACCCAAAGCATTGGAGGCTCCGTCAAAGTGCATAGACCATCGGGATCCTTCCTCAGGTCCTTCATCTGGTCCAGGTACTTCACAATCAGTCACAATCATGATGTTTTCGTCTGGAAACTCAAAGTTGATTGACTGATAGTCATCTACGGCCTGATGTGCCAAGTGGTCTGCCAATACACTTCCCTTGATGGCTTTCTGGGTCGTGTACTAAATGTCGTATTCCGTCAAGATCATTTGCCATCTTGCTATTCTCCCAGACAGAGCGGGCTTTTCGAATATGTACTTTATAGGATCCATCTTTGAGATCAACAAGGTAGTGTGAGTCAGCATATACTGTCTCAGCCGGCGAGCAGCCCATACCAAAGCGCAGCAAGTTTTCTCAAGCAGTGAGTATCGGGTCTCACAGTCGGTAAACTTTTTGCTAAGGTAATAAATGGCATGCTCTTTTCGGCCAGACTCGTCATGCTGCCCCAGCACACACCCCATTGAGTTGTCAAGTACTGTCAGGTATAGTATCAGAGGTCTCCCTTCAACCGGTGGCATAAGGATAGGTGGTTCTTGGAGATACTCCTTGATTCTGTCAAAAGCGGCCTGACATTCATCATTCCAACGTACTACCTGATCTTTCTTCAGCAGCTTGAAGATTGGCTCACAGGTAGCCGTTAGGTGTGAGATGAAGCGAGCAATGTAATTCAGGTGTCCTAAAAAGCCTCTGACTTCCTTCTCTGTCTTGGGAACTGGCATCTCTTGAATAGATTTAACCTTAGCAGGGTCCACTTGAATACCTTTATCGCTTACCATGAAGCCTAGCAACTTTCCCGATCTTACTCCGAAGGTGCACTTGTTCGGGTTCAACCTCAGTTTGTACAGTTTCAACCGGTCAAACAACTTCTGCAGATGATCTAGGTGCTCTTCCTCAGTCTGGGACCTTGCGACCATGTCGTCAACATACACTTCTATCTCATGATGGATCATGTCATGAAATAAAGCGACCATGGCACGTTGGTAGGTTGCCCCAGCGTTCTTTAGTCCAAAAGGCATGACCTTGTAGCAGAAGGTGCCCCACTGAGTAACAAAGGTAGTCTTTTCCATGTCTTCAGGTGCCATCTTGATCTGATTATATCCTGAAAAACCATCCATGAAAGAAAACACCTTATGCTGAGCTGTATTATCAACAAGGACATCAATGTGAGGTAGGGGGAAGTCATCCTTGGGGCTGGCCCTGTTCAGATCCTTGTAATCAACACACATTCTGACCTTACCGTCTTTCTTTGGTACCGGCACCACATTAGCAACCCACTGAGGGTAAGAAGTCACTGCAAGGAACCCAGCATCAAACTGTTTCATAACCTCGGCTTTGATCTTCTCAGACATCTCTGGACGCATACGGCGGACCTTTTGCTTAACTGGAGGGCAGTCTTCCTTAGTTGGCAAGTGATGGACCACAATATCGGTATCCAACCCGGGCATGTCTTCGTAGGACCAGGCAAAGATCTCCATATAATCATGTAGCATCTTAGTCAACCGTTGCTTCACGCTGAGCTCTAGGTTGGCACCAATCTTTACCTCTTTCCTGTCTGCCTCAGTACCCAAGTTTATTATTTCCACTGGCTCTTCGTGTGGTTGAATTTCCCTCTCTTCCTGAAGTAACAGTCTTGCAAGCTCTCCAGGCACTTCGCAATCATCTTCACCTTCGTCTTCGGCTAAGTTGATCAGATTCTCGAAGTCATAATTGGCAGTAGCAGAGTCGTTACCAGTGAGATCCAGAGTGGATTGAAACCTGTATGAGTGAGTGTGTGTGTAAATACAACTGTTTTGAAATATATGTAAAGGAAAGAAAGACAGAAAAGGAGCATAAGATTTGCAATGCGAGAAAACGTCCAAGATTTTCATTTATGATATATGAAATGACAATTTATATGCCCTCACAAATGAAACCACGGTGCCTCGGGTAAGACACCGGGCCATAGAGTTTATTTATTGTTTATTACAAATAACGAAACAAAGAAGTTTATTACTGCGTAACAAAGGTAACAAGAGTATGGTCTTTGGCAATCCAATTGGTCAATCCGCCTTCGGTCGTCGGGTAGATCCAGCTATTGAACTCAGCTTCGTCCACTTCATTGTTTTCACCAACAGCATTCACTCCTGGATTTGTAATGAGCACATGAGGTCTTCTGGTCTTCGCCTTCCGCATAGCTTTCTGACCCTCTGCAGTAAAACCCAGTCCAAATTTGTCAGTTTTCTGTGTAAAGTCGGGAAGCCTGCCCCAGTTAGCACATTCACCTTTTTGAACCACAGCCCGGGCATCCTTCAGGGAAGCCATCTTCAAAGGAACATTCTCTTCTACTGCTGTTTCTGTTGCCGCTGAAATTGGAAGCACCTCCTCGAAATGCTGAAAGGGGGTTTCAATAAACTCCCCGTCCATCTCAATGTATCTGAAGGAATTCAGATGGCTCACCATATACTCCTCCTCTCCCTGTACGGTGACAATCTTCCCTCTGACGGGGTATTTCAGCTTCTGGTGCAAGGTAGAGGTCACTGCCCCAGCTTTATGGATCCAAGGTCGACCCAGTAGACAAGAGTACGATGGACGAATATCCATCACATAAAAAGTAGAGTCAAACACCTGAGAGCCCACCCGAATAGGAATGTCAACCTCTCCATGAACCATCCTCTTGGAACCGTCAAAGGCTCGGACGATAATATTACTGGGTTTTAATTCCAGGCCTTCACAATCTAAACGGTCTAAAGCCTTCTTGGGTAGCACATTTAAGGAAGAACCAGTATCCACCAATACATGCTGTTGTACCCCAAAATTTGCCCTCCCATATTCTTCAAGAAATTGCCAAGTCATGCTTCAAAATTCCCCAAGGGTTGCACAGTTCAAGGGCCTCCTAAACAGTCAAAATTAGGGTTTTTATTCTGATCAATAAAATGAAGTTTCCAAGGGTCCAATCAAGTCCCACATGCCTATAAACATGGTCAAGCATCCTCATATCAAGTTTCAAGACTTTCAGCATAAGATTGCACAGTCAAAAACCCTAATTGCACTACAGTCAACTGTAGGGGCAAAATGGTCATTTGACAGTCAAAAGTTCAAATTTTTGGTCAACATCTCATTTTGAAGCCACAAACATCATTTGATCAATGCTTGATCATGATTCTCAAAGCTTGGCTCAAAAATCATCAAGATGCAAAAGTTTCCATATTTGGACAGTTGGAAAAGTCAACTGTAAATTGACCAGGGCATAACTTTCACATGGATTATCAGAAAAATTCCATCCAAAGCTCATTTTGAAGATAAAGACATTTCCTACAACTCCTCTTCACACTTCAAGTCCAAGAAATTCTCTCACAAAAAGTTATCAATTTCAACATTATAGGTCATTTTCAAAAGTCAACAAAAAGGGACTTTAAGTCAAAGGCCATAACTTGAGATTGGTAAACAAAATGACATGGGACCAAAGGAATTGGTTAGAGGACTCAAAGACCTTTCCAAAATGTCCAAGAACATGAAAAAAGCTTAAAAATTGAGCAAGTTATGCCTTGTGGAAGTTGGGAAATTTTTGGATATTTTGAAAAGTCAACATTGCTTCAAATGACCTAAAATTGCTAATGGGCCTCTTTTTCTCCCACAATTCATTATCCAAGGCATGTGCACGACCATTTGGCCCAAAGGGAAGTTTTTTATCATTTTTATTTATTTATTTGGATTTTTATTATTAATAATTCATTTAATTAATTAAAATACATGAAAAATGCTAAACCTAATGTTTCAAATCTTTTTGTGCATAAAACATCTCCAAGATTTCGTGCAAGTCAGATTAGGAAAGAATCAAAGGAAATTGGATGTGATTGGCATCAAAAACATGTGAAAAAGATTGCAAAATAATGGCTTGAAAATCAAATATCTTTTTCATCAATTCATGGATGTTGTGATCAATTTCTTTGACCTAAATCATCCTCACATAAATACCAAGTGCAACCCTAATGCTAAAGGACCTGGAGAGCCATACAAACCAACAACCAAAATACAAATTTTTTTCTCTCATCAATTTTCACCGCAAAACAAAAACCATCGCTGAGATTCATGGTAGAACTGAACCTCTTCTTGATCAAGACGCTGTTAACGGTTCTTGGAAACTTAATGCCGAGGAGTTTCATCTACCATCCCAGAATGTTGCTGACCATCAGAAGAAAAGCTCGTTCAGTTTCAATGGTCTCCTTCGTAAGCCTAAGAAGCAACGCAAGGTGGCGGAGTATTACGAGAAGCAAGAGAGACTCGTTGAAGGGTTTAACGAAATGGAGGCTATGCATGAAACCGGTTTTTACCCCGGAGGTCTCACTGAGGATGAAATGAAGCAGCTTACAAAGAGTGAGAGGATGGCGGTTCATGTGTCGAATGCATGTAACTTGGTGCTGTTTGCGGAAAAGGTTTTTGCGTCGATCGAGAGTAGATCATTGGCAGTCATTACACCAACACTTGATTCTCTCTTGGATCTCTTGTCAGGTTTCATATTGTGGTTTACCTCCCATGTCATGAGAAAGCCTAACCGATTTCACTATCCGATTGGAAAGAAACGCATGCAACCAGTGGGTATCATTGTTTTTGCATCTATAATGGAAACCTTGGGCTTGCAGATATTGATCGAGTATGGTCGGCAAATTATTGCAAAGGCAAAGCCTGAAGCTAATCCAACTAAGGTAAATTGGATGATCGGAATTATGGCAGCCGTGACTGTGGTGAAGTTCATTCTCATGATCTACTGTCGAAGATTCAAAAACGAAATCGTCAGAGCTTACGCGCGAGACCATCTTTTCGATGTCATTACCAATTCTGTCGGATTAGCTGCTGCTGTTCTAGCTGTCAAATTCGTATAGTGGATCGATCCAACTGGAGCTATTATCATTGCGTTATATACGATAAACACATGGACAAAGACAGTGATCGAGAATGTTTGGTCCCCCATCGGAAGAACAGCGCCACACCGCTCTTAGACTCCAGAAGCCCGTCGATTCTGTCGAAGGCAAGAAGGAGGCAGGTTCATCTTTTACTTATTTTCTTTGGGTATAAAATTATCTGGAAAAAGATGAAATTGAGGAAGAGATGATGTGAACATTGAGAGAGAAAGGTCAACTTTTGAAGAGGATAAAAGAGGTAAAACTGATATCCTCTCCCTCTCTGTACGTGTTTTATTGTTGTTTTGTTTTGGTTTATCATCTGCCAAGTGTCATGGCGAGAGTGGGTCGCTGCTAGATATACTTGAAGGATCAAATGAGGTAACGCCCCTTCTTGCAAGTAGGCCATTTCTTTATTATGATTTTTTCTCATTTCATAAAAACAGTAAAAAAATGCTTTGTTAATATTAATTAATACTATTTTGTAAATAAATTCTAAAAAACTATTTAGTTTAATTTTAAGTTTAATTTTAATATTTTTTTGAATAAACTAAAAAAGGTAGAAATTAGGGTTTTTACACTTTTGTTCTTTTTTTTTCCTTTTTCACCATATTTAATTTATTAACTATTTTTTGTAAATAAATTTATAATTAGGTTAAAATTAAGTCAAGATCAAACATTTTGTATATAAAATAAAAATAACTAGAATTAGGGTTTTATTTAATTTTTAATTTTAACCCATTTTTCTCTATTATTATAAAATATGAAAAACTCCAAATAAATTCTCTCTTTTATTTAAACTGAATTAATTTATTAATTGTAATGTAATTTCTTAAAAGGGTCCAAGGCCCTCGCGCTCTCGATTTTATTTCTCTTCGCATTTACTTTTATTTCTTTTTATTAATATAATGTATTTATCCCGAAGCCATGTAATAGTTTGATTAGGACATTTATCTTTCCGCATTTTATTTTTCAAATCGGGTCTTGGATTAATTTGGCGATGTGGACCCGCGCCTTTTGTAATAGCTTTAGAACTTTTATTTATCGCAATATTTTAACTGTTAATCAAGGCATGCAAGAATGAATGGACAAAAATAAAAGCGAACGCGTAGATCACCAATAACATGACAAGACAAAAATAAATGAATCTGACACACAAATCACACACCACCCCTAGGGTACGCCTCACTGTTGCCTTGCCTCGGAGGGTGATCATCGAGTAGAGGATGTCTTAGTAAGTCCTCATGATCCGAGAACCTGGCATGAGGGTAGCTTCTAAGGTGTCTTCCCATTGCTCTGGTGATCACCATGTCCCGAACCTCGAATTGACCCGAACACCTCCAACGGTGGTGCTACCTACCTCTCAATGGTGGGATGGCACTACTTTAAAGGACATTTACACAGACGAATTCCTTAGGGTAGGTAGACGACTCTAGATACTTGCTCTAAATTCAAAACAAATTCAAAAATACTTTTCACACCGACACCTTTTCAAAAAGCTTTCGAAAGCAAATTTTCAAACACTCTTGAGGACTGATACAAGAGTCGAACTGGAATTTTCAAAGAAACTTTTTAAAACCCACAGTTGAAAAGCAAACAAACCATTTTTGAAAACACAAGTGAGCAAGTATCTAAGAGCCCATGGATAACCATGGATAGAAAGGGTGCTAACACCTTCCCTTTCTATAATCTACCTCCCGAACCGAGAGCAATCTCTTTAAGGAATTTTTCTGTGCTTTTGTCCTTTCCATTTGGAGAAAATAAAAGACGGTGGCGACTCTTGCTTACCGCGACATTTCGCGAACCATCATTAAACAGTCAGTTCCAGATCCACCGATCACACATGCGCCAGAGTAGTGCCCCTGCATTCAATAGAGACATGCAGGGCGTCATTGTGGTCTCTTCCTTTTGTAGTCAGGTCAGCATCTGAGAAACCTAAGCCATTGTCCGCTGTCAGATTTGCTACGCAATCAGTGAACTGGACTGCAGATGTCTCTTGTGGCACATGGGCCGTCTTGAGGAATGAGATCAAGGCCTTAGCATGGGCCTCGGAGCATAGCAATAAGGAGAGCATGGAGATCTTGGAGGGCGTGTGCCCCAGCTGTTCCACAACATTGAAGTCACTCTTCTTTATAATTTTCAAGATTTCCTCCATCTCTTGTTGGGAGGCCTCAGCATTTACAGGTATCGGTGCCTCCGTCCGGGCAGGCTCAACTTCAATTCCTTTGCCCCGAGCATTGGATGACTCGGAAGCAGGGGAAATAACTTGGTCAGCAACAGGAACAGGTACACTTGTAGGTGTTATAAGGAGGGGTCTTCGAGCAGCGGGCGGTGCAATGTCAGGCGAGAAGAGCCTGCCACTGCGGGTAACCTTGGCTGGGCCAGTGATATCGCAGATACTGGCGCCAGTGTTGAACTCTTGTTTGATCCCATTCACATACACATCTGCCCCGTAATGCCAAGGGACAGCTTTATCAGATACGTAGGGAAGAGGCCCCGGAACAGTGATAACCACAGGTGCAACAGTCATGATTGGGACAGGCTTCTTCGGGAGAGCCTTGATTGGATTATTAAAGATGGTAACCACATAAACTTCTTCTACCGGAACCAACTGAACAACAAATTTTTTGAACAGAATCTCCTTACTATCCATTAGGCTTTGGATGCCTAACTTCAGCAAGGGACAACCAGATAGGGAAACAGCACAGAACAGGCAACCCTCACTGCAACCCGGAAATAAACCGGCCAGCAGTAGGTTCTTCTTGACAGTCATTAAGGGAGTGGCTAGATCATCCACAGAAACAGCGTAAACATCTTCATCAACAGCATTTACCCCATGCTGAGGCATAGGAGCAGTAACCACATTCGGCCTCTCAGGCGCTTCGAACTGTATCTCCTTCGCGTCGATAAGGTCTTGCACCTTATTCCTTAATGCCCAACAGTCATCAGTGGAATGCCCCGGGCTATCAGAATGGTACGCACAGCGGGCATTTGGGTTGTATTTCCGAGAGGCAGTGTTTACACCTTTGGGGGCCTCTCTGACAGTCACTAAGTTGGTGGATAGCAACTGCGGCAAGATTTGGGATAGGGTCATGCTCAAACGGGTAAACTCTCTCCGGGGTCTTTCAGCCCTTTAAGGATTGGTTGGCCGAGGAGCGGCAACAGGTTTAGCAATCATCACCGCACTGACAGATTGGCGGCGCTCAGATTTCTCTTGTCGTCTAGAACCATATACAGCACTAGCCTCCTTCTTGAAGGGTTTCTTCTCAGAACTAGACGATGCACCCTTCGGAATCTTTCCAGACTTCAACCCAGCCTCAATTCTCTCTCCAGTCAGAATCAGATCAGTGAACCCTGCAGAAGAATTCCCAATAAGATGGTTGAAAAATGGCCCAGATAGGGTCCCCAAGAACATGTCTACTAACTCCCGATCAGTCAACGGAGGCTGCACTCTGCCAGCCAGATCCCTCCACTTCTGAGCGTACTCCTTAAAACCTTCACTTGAACCTAACGACATACCCTGGAGTTGGGTACACGTAGGGGCAAGGTCGGCATTATATTGATACTGCTTATAGAAAGCAGTAGCCAACTCCTCCCAGTTACGAACCTTGGTCCCATCCAGCTGATAGAACCATTCGAGATGAGTCCCTGAAAGACTCTCCTGGAAGAAGTGGATCCACAAATTCTTATCCGTTGAGTACGGTTGAATCTTCCGAACATAGGACCTGAGATGTAGCTTGGGACAAGACGCCCCGTCGTACTTAGTGAAAGATGGTGCTTTGAATTTACGAGGAATGATTACACCAGTAGACAAACCCAAATCTCCGAAATCCAGCCCAGGTACTTGTTGGATCTCCATAGCATTCAACCTGTCTTCCAACTGCTTGTATCTGTCTTCTGCAGGAGGATATTGCTCTTCATCAAAATCAGTCTCGTTGTCGGAGACTACCGGACTAGGACCTTTTTCCGCTTGAGGAGTACTCTTGCCAATAGAAGAACCAGCCTCTTCATTCTGCAGAGTATTGCCAAACCTTCGGCCCGAGCTGAACAGAACAGTCCTTCTCTTCTTCTTCTTTTCCTTCTTCAGGAGCAGAGCCTTCAGCTCTTCTTGGCCCTGAGCCAAGCCCATGATTAGTTCCTGAAATTGCGCATTCTGCGCCTGAAGAGCTTTGATGGACATCTCAGTTGAGGACGAGTCAGGATTCATGATGCTGAAATAAACAGCGAAGAACGGTAAGCAACCTGAAAAGAGGAAAACCTGCTATGCACATGATGAATGGAATGCGTATGATTTATGTTTTCAAAGACAATCGGGAATCAACTTTGTAAACAAAAAGGAACACACTTCATTAGATTCAACTTTGAAAATGAAATTATTCAACAGGTTGCCCTTAGGCGTTACATGAAAGGAAATACTGAAAAGGGAAATAAAACTGTAAAAGAACATCAGGAGCTCCTTATTGATCCCATGGTCTCCTCTTCTCAGTATGGATGTAGGCATTCAGAGCTCTCTCATTCTCCAACTGCTTTGTCAGCTTCTGGATCTTTAATTCCTGCTCGTTGAACTTTTCCCGGTAAGAATCCCGTTCTTCTCGCAGTTGCGACCAAGATCTCTTTAATGTCTCATAATCAGTAGGTATCTGAGGAGGAAGGACAGTTGGAGGAACACCATCTTTGTCAGGACACTCAAGAATGACGGGTCTGACGGCTTCATACGGCATACCTAACTTCTGAGCACGGATGCGAACCCATTTGTAGTAGGCTTCCATAGGTAAAGAAGTCTTTGGCCCCAACTCTTGTGGGTCAGATTTATGAACTTTGTCCCAAGCCTTGATGAACCTACGACGCAGCTCGTCACTATCTACCTGAAACTCAAAACTGATGTGAGGCACCAACATCTCATGGGGGCCTGCTCTTCTTGCTCTTCCAAACTGACGGAGCGCTAGACATGGATTGTAAGAGATCCCTCCTTGGGTACCAAT